GGCCATATTAAACCTCATCCCATTGGTCTCCATCCTCCTGCCTGCTCTGTATGGGGTCAGAGTGAGAAACAGAGAAAACCCTGAGGCTGTCTAAGCACTGCTGAAACACTGGTGTTTTCAGCGCTGTTTCAGAAGTAAATCCAAAACATAGCACCATGCAGACTGCTGTGAAGAAAATTAACTCCATCCCAGCCAGACCCAGTACAAAGTCATTTCCTCTTTGACAGTGAATTAGGATGAGTATGCTCAGAAGTAACTTTCAGGCTTTGGATTGTGATCCATTGATGCACCTGCTTTTTTGATCCATGGAAATACTGCTTGGCTGAGCAGCATATTAGGTAAATAGTGAATGATGCCATTGCAGCAAGACAGAAGAATTTCTGTTTCTAAATCCTGTTTATTGCCATTACTTTTAATCTTTCAGATACTTTGTCTTGCAAGATGAAGTTGAAAGGATAGTGTTCAAAGTCAATTTGATAGCATGGGAAATAGGTAAAACTGCATCTGAAACTGAAATACTAATCTTGACGTTACTGTCCTGGTAGGAACAGGGCAAAACCACTAGGGACTGAAGAAGGATGTGGTGTGTTCATCTCATGAGTACTTCTTACACACACTGCTGTGAAGAGGATTTTTTTATAGTTTCAGAATCATTTATATTTTAAGCTTTCAGTTTTTATTGGTTCAAAGTTGTGGTTTATCTTTCAAAACATTTACAAAAGTGTTCTCTGTAAACTTCACCTATGGGTTATCATACATTTTCCAGAGCCGAATTTACTTACTTTTCAGATTTGATTAGAATGTTGGAGGTGCCACATATGTTAGCTGTATGTGTTCCCATATATGCTTTATTTTCCAGTATGATAGCCAGTTTTTTCAATCCAGTAAACCACTGTTACGAGGTACTGGAATGATAACTATATAAGATCCTAAATCAGGATTGCATTCTCAGTCAGGGTAACATGCGGAATTCATAAATTGGAACTTAAATGCTGTGAAAAATCATAGCTTCTGATCAGGAGTGAACATCTGAGTATGTTTTTATAAGTGTATATAGTACGAAAAAAATCTTTAATCCTGAATAAATTAAACTCATAGAGTTATGTATTAAATTGTTACTATTGTTTATAAAGCCAGTTTGAGAATTTTTTTTGACCAGGGAAAAAAAAATTATCTTTCTTTCATTCTTTCTTGTTTGGATTTTTTTTGTGTGTGTTGGTTGGGCTTTTTTGGTTTTGGTTGGGGTTTTTTGTTGGTTTGTTTTAAACAGAGAAAGTCCATTTATAGCTTTCTTAGTCGTCAGTATTGATTTTTTTCACACCCTCAGTATAGCAGGACTGTCATAAACCCCAAGAAAAATAGTTATTTCCCAAGGTTTTTCTGCACTGCTTGTGAATTAAAACTAAATACATTGATGTACCAGAAGACATTTTAAAACGTTTTTAAAGAGAGTAATATTTTTCTAAAGCCTTATTTATTTTTTCTTTTAAAGTAAATGTTCTCTTTTAAGGTTGGTTGATTTAACTGATTTTGAACAGGGAACAATTTAATTTTTCTGATCCATACTCTACTGATAATCTTCCACCTAGTGTGACGGGTTTGCACAAAAACTCAGAATTGAACACAATATTCCAGATGCGGTCTCACCAGGGCAGAGTAGAGGAGAAGGAGAACCTCTCTCGACCTACTAACCACCCCCCTTCTGATACACCCCAGGATGCCATTGGCCTTCTTGACCGCAAGGGCACATTGCTGGCTCATGGTCATCCTGCTGTCCACCAACACCCCCAGGTCCTTTTCTGACTGGCAGCTTTCCCGCCACTCGTCCCCTAGCCTGCAGCACTGCATGGGGTTATTGTGACTGAAGTGCAGGACCTGGCACTTGGCCTTGTTGAAGCTCATACAATTGGCCTCAGCCCATTGATTCAGCCTTTCCTGATCCCTCTGCAGGGCCTTCCACCCTCAGGCAGATCAACGCTTCCTCCCAACTTAGTGTCATCTGCAAACTTGCTGAGGGAGCACTCAATCCCCTCATCCAGACCATTGATAAAGATGTTAAACAAGTACTTGCTTGGGTTTCCAGTATATTGGTTATTTTGTTATTAATAAGCAATCTTTGCAAATAAGTACTTCTAGCAATGCAGATTTGAGGTTCAGGAACTAAAGTGACGAGTGGATGAAACTAGCAATTAAAAAAACCCCATTAACAATTTGGTGAAAGAGAACCTTTTAAAGCCAGATGTCAACATATTAGTTTTAAGAATCGGAGAGTCACAGAATTGTTTAGGTTAGAAGGGCTGTTTTGAGATTGTCGGACCAAATTCCCCTGCTCAAGGAGGTCAGCTAGAGCAGGCTGCCCAAGACCATGTACTCTTGAGTTCTGAGTATATACAAGGATGGAGACTCTACAACCTCTCCAGGAAACTGCTGCAGTGTTTGATCACCCTCAGTAAAACAGTTTTTGCATGTGTTCAAGTGGAATTTCATGAGTTTTGTTTTTACCCATTGCTGCTTGTCCTGTCAATGTGTAGTACTGAGATGAGTTTAGCTCCTTTGTGTTCATGCTCTCTCATATTTTTAAACTGAAACAAAACTGAAACAAAATTTAAAAAAACAGGTTTGCAATACTGTCTGAATATATATTAAATAAGTAATATTTTTGATCTCTGGAGAATCATTATAAAGTGGCTTACATACGAATGTAAACTTCCCTTGAGCCTTCATGGTAAGAAATTGTATGAGTTTCAAACCCACAGATCTTTAAGTCTAAAATTTCGTTATTAATTAACAGGGAGCACAGCAGTACCTTTGGACAGTAGTACTGCCAACAACAATTATAAAGCCTTTAGAATCAGTAACTTTACCATCATCTGACTATAAGCTGCTCATTTTAAGCAGAAACAGGAATGAATCCTACTGTAAGTTTCCACAGATACAGAGGCTGATGAAGTACTAATTTCTAAGGCAAATGCGTCAAAACCAATAGTGTCTCTGTAGCCAAACTGTGAGAACAGTTACTTGGGTTCTGTTAAAGTTTTGCTTTTACTTTATTGCACTGCCTATTCTAATTTTTTTTAAGTAAACTCCCAACTTTGAGCCAGTACTAAAAGCCAATACCATAACTTTCCATGTGTTTTTATCGAGTTAAATGCATCTGAAATACTTGTGATAGATTCTGAATAGTTACACTCTAAGTGGAATTTTTATTAATTTTTAGTACTGTGCCTGACTATAGTGTCTAACTCCCTTTAAAATACATAAAATAGTTTTAAAGTGTCACTTTTTAAATTGCATTTTGAAATCTAAGTTTACTTTAAAGATATTAAACAATAATAAATTTTGTGCTGCAGGGGGCTTCTTTGCAATATAAAACCTTACGACAGTTTAATTAGGAAAATAATTCTTGTAACTCCATAGGATGGAATAAATTTTCCTGCTACTGTTGCTTTGCTATACTGCATGTCCTTCTAAATTGGCATAAAAATGCATTAACGCTTGTTTAAGTTAGATCAGCCTTAAAAGTTGGAGGAGAAAAAGAAGAGGAATTAGTTGTCTTAAATTCATACATCTTTTTGCCACTCCTTTAATCTGCAGAGAAACACTTTAAGCAGAAGTGATTTTGTAAGTTGAAAGAAAAATGGTTCTGTCAGGCGATTATGTGATTGTTACATTTGTGTTACAGGCAAGGGAGAAGATAGCGATGTCCTCAGCATAAATGCAGATGCTTATGACAGTGACATAGAAGACCCATGCAATGAAGAGGATAGCCCAAATGTGCAAGAAAACAGTGTCCTAAGTGGAGCCAGTCAGATAGATGATCTCCAGAAAGACATTGAGAAAAGTGTGAATGAGATACTGGGGTTGGCAGAGTCCAGCCCAGAGGAGCCCAAAGCACCCCCCTTGGCCATTCCTCCATCAGAAGATGTTCAGCCATCAGCACAGCAGCTGGAGCTTCTGGAGCTCGAGATGAGGGCCAGAGCTATTAAAGCTCTGATGAAAGCTGGTGATGTAAAAAAACAGGCCTGAGATTGTTTAGATTTAATTTTCAGTATTTGTCTTGAAGGAAATGGTGTCTGTTCTCTTCAGTGACAGAGTATTTTTGGGCTGGGTATGATGTTCCTCATTCAAATCCTGTTGTGTATCCAGATCTGCGGCTGAAGCCATTCATAGTTGTTTTCATTACCTTTATTGTGCTGCTTCTGTGACATGCACAAACAGAGCGGTTTGATGCTCAACTGAGCTCAGTTCTTTCTGTGCTGGGTTATCTCCTCAAGAACTCACACAGTGTATGTATTCAGTTATGTCAGGAACCTGGTGGCTTGCAGAAAGGGTAGGAGAAACAAGTTCTTTATAACCCCATAGTTAGAAATTGCCAGCTGTTTTATTTATTAGTAACCTGCTAAACCACTTGAGAAACTATTTGTATGTATTTCATTAAAGGCACCATTTTGAAGAGATCTTTTCTCATGTGACTGCCATCAGCCTTCTGTAAAGGAATTTGAGAGTGCTTATTTCTCTTTGAGGTCCAGCTCATCATAATATATAGCTATTATAGTTAAAATTAGTAATGATTCACTTAAAAGCATAGATAAGTTTTAGAAAGTTGAATTCCTAAAGGGAGGAATTTTTCCCTTTTAAATAAACAGTTGAACCATGCTATTTTTTTTTACTGTAAGGGTGACAGAGCACTGAACAGGCTGCCCAGAGAGGTTGTGGAGTCTCCTTCTCTGGAGACATTCAAAACCCGCCTGGACACCTTCCTGTGTGACCTAGTCTAGGTGTTCCTCCTCTGGTAGGGGGGTTGGACTGGATGAGCTTTCGAGGTCCCTTCCAACTCCTAACATTCTGTGATTCTGTGATTTTCAGAGTTATGAAAGTGCCTGAAAGTGTCAAATATCAAAATAGAGTTTTTATACTGTTGGTGGTTTAATTCTGTCACTTTCCTCTGCTGTTTATCTTTTGTGTCATAACTGAAATTAAAAACCCAATATTTTCTAGACTATGAAGCTTTTTTTGAATATTTGACATAATATTCAGGAGAGTGCAACAAAACAGACTATGTAAAAGACCTTGAGTTTTTAACATTTAACTGATGTAGTCATTTAATATCCCTTTTACACAGCAAAATCTACCCAATTTCAGTATAAATATGTTTTAGGAAAGACATTTAATTTATTTATACCTATTGTATAAGGTTTTAAAAACATTACTTTTATCCATTTCAAGGATATTTCTTTGTAAGTAAATTGTATTACAAGATTAATTTTCCTGCTATTATTTCTTACAACAATTAATTCACATTTTGTTTAGCATTAGTGCTTGTTTTATACTTGGCTGTTAATCAAATTCATATTAAAATATATCTTTGTGTATTTCTTTACATACACACAAATTGATTTTTTTTAGGGTATGAAGTTTATGAAAGTGGTCCTTGTTAAGTAAAATGACGTATTATATATTGCTATTCCCGGTTTTCCCTTTTTTTGTTACTTAGAAGCCAAATTAGGTACTTTACAGCACTAGCATAGATAATTTCTTTTTTTCCCCTTTCTCTTTTCTTCACCTTTTTCCCCCTTTCGTTTTAACCCCTTTTCTACCCTTTTCCCTTTTTGTTGGTGGTCAAGTGCATTGTCTTTAGTAGCAAGCTTCTTACATATTTCTTAAAGTGTCATTGATCTCCTCTAGAATCAACAGCATTGTGAGTAAAATGGTAGCAAAATAGTGGAGTGTAAATTTGATTATAAATTAAAACCTTCATTAAATACAACTGAGAAAGTTACAGTGCACGTTCACTAAATGATGGCAGTGACCTGAGTAGATTTCACCTGACTATAATCAGTTATATGCAGCAGCAACATTTTCCTGTTATTTTTTAGCAGACGGAGAGTTTAAGTTAGAATATGCATATCCAATTCAAAGGGCAAATTGGCTGTCTCAATATGTGTGTATGTTGTCTTCATTTGACTGTTTGGTGAACTCGTGATTTATTTGAGCACAGGGAAACAAAAGGAGGTAATGAGAAAAGGACAGGTGGCAAAACCTAAACATGCTTTGTTGTTCTTCTTAAAGTCATAGGATAGTGGAACTATGCTAGACCGTAAAAATAAGTTTTACTGCTGCTATACTTAGATCCTTAAGGCACTGAATACCTCACTTTGCCCGCTGTAGAAGTGAAGAAGCACACCTGCAAGGACCTTTCCTTCCTAGTCCTGCTCTGCAACCCTGTATGCCTCAGCCAGTAGGAAAGCTTGGTCTTTATTGTTTGCCTCTCTTCTTTCATTTGCCAGTTCTACCATCTGCCATAGATGAGGCTTGCAAAATCCCAAGCAATATGAATAAACAAAAATCAGTCCTTAATATTGAAGAAAAATGTTCAACACGATAATAGTTGGTTGACAGAACAAGTGTTTCTAATGTTTTATTTGCTTTTTTACTGGTACTCCTAACACCTCCCGCAGAGGTGATTCCTTGCTGACTGCATACTCCTGCATGGCTCCCATGTGTTTCTGTTGACCACTGAACAGCAAAAGGATGCTTCATGTAGAAGCTGTGCCTTGGTTAAGTTATAACTTAGGGTGTCTTAGGAAAGCTTAATGTCAGTCAGCTTTAATTAGAAATAGATTTCCTGTGCCACTAGACGAACTGGTACAGTCATATGTACTACCAAGTCCATTCAGTGATGTTGCAGAACAATACATTTGCAGTTGTTTTGCACCAAGGAAATACTGCTAGAAGTGATAATAAACTATAATGTAGTTCTCTTCTACTGCATATTTGCTGGAGGTCTATGGCATTTATTTCTGAACTGAGCTTCATTTTCCTATTGGTTTTCCAGGTTACCTTTAAAGGTTCATTTTATAGTGTGTTGAACTGTCCGTCAAAGTATATAATTTCAAGGTCTGTATCAAGAAGTTGCATATGCCAACTTTAGTATGTAGTGTGACAAAGATGAAACAAGTTTACTATGCATATGACAGAGAAGATTTGTAATTACAGCCCAATTAAATTTGAAATTAAAAGAGAAGGATTCCAGGAAAATTAAATTAAGCTGTTTACAAAAATAAAATAAAATATACATATATCTTAAGAGAGACTTCATGTGATTCATTACACAAGTGCTAATTCATTTTCAGGATATTTGTACTATTGCTGCTTAGGTTAAAAGCAGATCAGCTAAGTGCACAGTAAAAAAAAATCCAGTGTATTTAAAATTATTATACAGCTGTTTTGCTGTTCACTTTTAAATACTTCTTTGATTTTTTTTCTCCTTGAAAAATAATTTTAATATTTCACTTGGAAGAAGAGGCAATTTATATGTAAAATGCAATTATGAATTATTTATGAAACCTTAAAATAATTTTACTGTTTTTTTTCATCAACCACTTTGTGGGAAAAAGTTATACAGTGGGTGCTGGTCAGCA